TGTGTGTGTGTGTGTGTGTGTCGTGTGTGTGTGTGTGTGTGTGTGTGTGTGTGTGTGTGTGTGTGTGTGTGTGTGTGTGTGTGTGTGTGTGTGTATGTGTGTGTGCGTGTGCGTGTGCGTGTGCGTGTATGCGTGTGTGTGTGTGTGCGTGTGCGTGTGCGTGTGCGTGTGCATATGCGTGTGCGTGTGCGTGTGCGTGTACGTGTTCGTGTCTGGCAAGCCGATCTAGATTATTTCACGTATAACCTCTTCATTTAACATGGGCTGTAACGATATCATCTAAAAATAGCCCAATAATAACCCTGTTCTTCGAAGCAAGACGAAAGGTAAGTCATAATTACAGCCCGACCATAAGAACTAAATGTCATTGAACATCGCCCCACACTGTGTTATAATTGGAGCTAGCAGGTTTCCAATTAGAGCTTCTTACATCCGAGCTGCTGAAGTAATGGGGAGGGAGATGACCGAGGAGGTTGGGAAGGGGAGGTGGGCAATCAATGATCGATCATGCAGTTCAGCAGATATAGGTCTGCGGAGATTCTCCCGGGCCTCGGAGCTACGTACCTGCATGCATCGTACCTCTGTACTCGTCGTCGGTTGTAATTTAATAACGGCAATAAAAGGCAACCTCGTCTTTGTATGGCTTTCCCTAGAGAGAAAAGCTGGCGTGTAACGACGAGTTGTGACGAGACGTGAGCAATGGGATTTTTTCAGGTTTTGTTAGAAATGCAGCACATGCGAGCTTAAGTAACATTATGCTCACGATGCATGGGGGCTTCCTCCCTCTCCCCCGGGGGATGTAGTGTTCACGTGCGCCAAAGAGAGTGTTTAGCTGCTTAGCAAGTCTGAGCCTCTAAAATCCGGTCCAACCTTTAAAGCAACAAATGGACCGGCCGTACCATCCTTACTTTGCCCTAGTTGAATTGTTGATACGTTAAGTCAACGTAAGAAAAAAGCATCTGTTGCAAAACTATTGTCTGGGAGATTGGTGAGGAAACGGGCAGACGTGGCACATGATTCCTCAAGAGATTTCTGTACACCGCAACACACAAACCGCCTGCGGCAGGCACCCAGGGCGACATTAACATTAACAACCCTTTTAAAACGCTCGGCCCTGTTGTTCCTTCTTTGTCCGTAACAACGAGAAGAACTATAAACTATAAATAGCCTTAAAGAAAATCCATGAATAGTGACTAACGCATATAACGGTTATTAATAGATCCTTGTCCCAATTTCACATTGTTCTAGCTCGAGCTGATAAAATAATCCTATTATCATCACTAGCACATCAGCGCTAACAAGAGAAAGGGATCATGTTTCGTGTACACTGCTCATACGAGTGATTATGTGCAATATTTTCTTTATGACAAAATTTTCTTTTGTCCTAAACGTCCCTTGAACCGATACATGGACGAATCACGACAGACTTTTGTATCCCTTCTTCGCGGAACACCGCGACATGTCAGAACGATACACGAGCAAACTTGTTATCGCGCATTTTTCTAGCGACACCGCAACGCCTGACTTCCTCTGTGAAAGAATTGAAAACAATTCTTTCGGTTGCCCCTATATCACAATCCGCTGTAGAAAGAAAAGAAAGGAATAAATTCATAATCTTAACACCATTCAACCATACAGACTTAACCTGTCGGCTGAACATGCCAGGATCGCCGATTATGATATCTCCGCGCAACGTAGTTCACAAGTATAGCGGAAGCATTGTGGCGGGATGCTGCGGCCAAAGTGATATTTTTAGATCGGGTTTTACTATGCACATCTCTCGCGGGCATGCCCCTGCCTATTTTTAACGTCTGAGATCGGCCGAAGAAAATTACCTTGGCTCGCAACGGCGACCAGCGACGCGAGAGCAATTTCTATGTACATTAGCATATAGTTCGTAACTAAGACCATGGCACTACGGCATTATGCATAGCTAAGTAGATAGGTCTCCCCCATTTTACAAATTAGTAATTCAGTGAAATGCCGTCACGTTAATTACATCTGTTACGGGAAAGTGCTCCCAGTTAAATGTGTACCTGACATTACAGAGTAGAGCTGCCTGCAAGCCTAGAATGAATAGCATTTCCTAAACGACGAATGATTCATAAAGCTGTGGGGTGTGTGCGTGCGCGCATGCGTGCGTGTGTACGTGTGTGTGTGTGTGTGTGTGTGTGTGTGTGTGTCGTGTGTGTGTGTGTGTGTGTGTGTGTGTGTGTGTGTGTGTGTGTGTGTGTGTGTGTGTGTGTGTGTGGCGCGCGCGTGTGTGTGAGTGTGAGTGCGCCAGTGCGTGCGTGCATGTGTACCTGCATACGTGTGTGAACGCGCGTGTGTGTGCGTGGAAGTGTGTGTGTGTGTGTGTGTGTGTGTGTGTGTGTGTGTGTGTGTGTGTCTGTGTGTGCGTGTGTTGTGTTTATTCGTGCGCGCGTGCGTTGTGGTGTCTGGGAGAGTAGGTGCGTGCGTGCGTGTGTGCGCGCGTGCGCGGGCGTCTGTGTGCGTGCATGTGTGTATATGTATATACGATACGTGCGTACGCCCCTGCGTGCTTGCACATACGCGTGTGCGTGCGTTCGTTGAAATTCATGCACAATGATAACGTTTCATGCTGATGATGGACTAGATCCATAGCAATGCTCTTAGATCCATATATCGACCTATATGCATCGATGCATTGTGATAATACGGCGAGATTCATCGTGACACACTGCATTAATCTGGGTATTGTAGCTGTGCCTATATATATTTGCCAAATCGTACCCTTACTCACCGCACGATGGCGCGCGGAGCACGTGTCTGCTGCGATGCTTGCAGAACGGGTTGGATATTTTTGCAGCGCGTGTTTACTTATTTACATACGTAATATCAGGGTTAATAATGACAAATGTTCATTTTGTCATTATTAACCCCTGATAATATGCAATCCCCTCGCTATGTCTAAACCATCGCATGACAATAATGAGCTCTGTAAAACTATTGTACGTCAGTGTAAACTCTGAGAGTGCTTTGAGTTAGTGCGAACTCTAAGTGTTCACGAACTCAAGAAAATACTGAGTGTTGTCAGTGAGAAATTCAGTGAATTAAACTACAAGATACTGAACTTCAGTGTGTTGGCTAATGATCTTTCCCACTCATTGTAAAAAATACGAATCTCCTGTGAATTGCTTTCATTACATATTAAGTTCGTATTTAGTTACAACGTTAAACGTGTATTCATTTACTATTTTCTGCTTGTTCGTGTACCATTTGTGGAACAATAGCTATGCCAAATAAAATGTATTATTTGTTACTTGTCGTTCAAACGTTTATTGCTATTATAAGACAACACTTATTATAACGTGAAAGTAAAGGTGCATTTAACCACAATGTTTGCTTGAACAGTTCCTATTTTCGGATCAGTATCTTTGTCAAATAAGATATCTGGCGTCCAAACGTTTATTATCCTACCACATTCATCATTAGTTAAAACACGTGACGCATCATATACATAGATAAAATGGTGCATACATGACTAACAAGGCAGCGAGAAATAATACTATCACGGATGAATGAAATCAAATTTAATTTGCATTCGCTGCTGATACTATTCATCCATTGCCACTTTAGTTTAAGAGTGATGCAAATTAGTTTTGTTGTAAATAACACAATTCATTCATCAAACACAACGCACACTCGTGTGGCCACATATGTAAACACACTCGCGCGCGCACGCACACATACACGCATACACGCATACACGCACACATGCACACACAGACACACACAGACACACACATACACGCACGCACGCGCGCGCACACACACACACACACACACACACACACACACACACACACACACACACACACACGCACACACACGTGCGCGCGCGTGCGTGCGTGTGTGTGTG